GTGTCAATGTGTGTGTGTGTGTGTGTGTGTGTGTGTGTGTATGTGTGTGAGTGGTGTGTGTATTCTCCGTTACATTTATTATCAATATATGCATTTTACTCTCACGCAACAGGAATTTATTTAACGAAATTCTTGAAAAAGGAAACCCTCCCATGGAATGGAGAACGAGATAGAAATAATATTATAATAAAACTACCAAAAAGGGGACTTAAAAGACTTTAGAGGAAAAACGTTTTTATCAGCGGCTTGAAAATTATTTTTGCGCTATTATTTTGTCTTGTATCAGAACAGCAATAGATGAGAGGCTAAGAGAGGAACAGGCGTGTCTATGACTCTATATATCATGCACAGAGCAACTGCTCGTTCTGAGAAATATCGTAGAACAAAGCAAAGAAGGGAATGTCCCAATTGTCTTGGACTTTGAGGATTTTAAAAATCCGCTCTGACCGAGAGGACTTGGCGAAATTCTTGCAATTTATGGAATCCAAGCAAAAATAAGAAACTGTATAAGATCATTATATTATCACATTATGTAAGCTTTTGTATCCTGTTTGAAAGAGAACCATCTATGCCTTTTGAAGGAAACATTGGTGTTAGACAAGGCTGTTTTTGCTCACCTGTACTTTTAAAAATTGTTTTCGATTTTGTAATGAGAAAGAGTAATTACACTGAAACAGGCATTGGATGGACAAATGGCACATATTTGGGTGATCTAGATTTTGCGGATGACTTTTGCCTATTAAACACCACAGTACACGATGTGCAATCAAAAACAAACTAGCAAAAGTTGCGGGAAAAGTTGGCCTTATAATAAATGTATGTAAAACAGAAGAACTATAGCGGCTATCATCAGAAACTATGCCCATTACTCTTTGTGGAGAACCCCTTGCAGAAATTAGTAAATTCAGGCAGCTTGGCAGAATTATATTGAAAAACTGTAGATTGCCTTGACAACGTCCACCAAAGACTTAAAATGCTTGGATTGCTTTTGGGACTCTAAAAACCATATGGGAGTTGAAGATCATCTCATTAAAGACGAAAATAAAAGTATATAATAGCTATATTCTGACTGCATTGACGTATAGTTCAGAGTTATAGAAAACAAACAAAACAAATCAACGAACATTAAAAAGCGTCCAAACAAAATGTCTACAAATAATTTTTCTTATGAAATGGAATGAATTATTACAAATAATGAAGCGTTGGAAAGAGCTGGAATTGAAACTATCAACACAACCATGAAAAGGAAAAGAAGGAAATATCTGGCATACGAGTGCCGAAGACAAGATTGTCCTATCAGACGGGCTATTGGAAACTAACTGGAAAAAGAAAGCTGGGAAGACCAACCGGAAGCCACAGAAGGACAATAAGAGATGAGGCAATCACCTAGGGTCTGGATGTGCCGAAATTGGAGGACGTGGCCAGGGACAGACAAGCATGGCGTCGACTGTTCTCCACCGTATGTACCTGATGGCATAGGGAGAGAATAAGTCAGTTAGTATTTCATGTCGATGAAAGGGCTCAGAAAAAAAAGAAAGTCAATCTCACATGGAGGTGGTTTCGAAAAAAAATATTTAAAAATAAATTTAAAATGACACATTTAATATATGCATATTGGTACTAAAACAGGGCCTAGACATTGGTGACTGGTGCCTCTAGCTACAAATAAATTATTGATGGTCAGGTAAGATCAGGTACATACTAGTCATCATCATCATTGCCTTTACAACCCTGGATCAGGATATAGGTCACGAACAAACACTTTCCACCTTTCCCTAGCATACTAGTTTAAAAAAGTAAAGTTGTTCCTGCATCTGATCCGGACAATGGGGATTGCCTTGTTAGTGAGACAACTTCCTGGGCCTTTGGCATATTGTGGTAGGGTGGCCAGTTCCTTTCCACGTCACCTTTATTTCCCCAAATTCGAAGTCAGGTACCCATTACATGTACTGCTGAGTGGGCTGGAGGGTCCGAAAAAAATCAGTGTCTGAACCGAGGCTCGAACCCGGACTTTCCGCTCGTCTTCGGAGACGAGCGCACTGACCGCTCCGCCACCGCACCCTCAGCGTACTAGTGCGTCACTGTAAAACTATAACTATGTCTGAAGCGAAACTTTGTCTGAAGCGATCCTTCACTGTAAAATTATTACGTCATTCTTCTTTCTCCAGGCGGCGGTCGGGCTGATAGGAGCGGCAGGAGGACCAATGACGGGCATGTTTCTGCTGGGAGCCTTCTTCCCCTGGGCCAACAAATGGGTAGGTTGTTATGGTCAGTTGTTGTACTTTATCTCTCAATATTGTAATATGTTATTTTGTGTGAATGAATTAGTACTTTTCCGTGCTCGTGTGAGTGATGTAAAGTGCTCAGAGCTTATAATAGTCGTATGAGATACAGTGTTATTTAAATGAAATCTATTAGTATTGTTATTGTCTTCCATATTTTAAAAGCAGGTGGTTGGAGGTCACCTACTGATTTACCTTTCCTTTTTGTCGATTCTGTCTGTCGTATTTATTTCCTCCCAACACTGCATGACCATTATTGTGTCTATAATGCGTTTCTCATTACTCAAACGAACAAACTTATCTTTTAAAATTGTAAGTTTGATACTTTCTCGTGTGAAAACTTATTTTATTAATACATATATGTTTTCTATTTATTCCTTGGCTATTTAATTAAAAACGTGTAATTTTTATTTTTGAATGATTTTATTCCAATTTATAATAATATTTTTGAACTCTTTCCTTTCGTAAACTTTTTCCTTTTGTAAACTTTTTCCTTTTGTAAATTTGTTTCTTTTGTAAACTTTGGAAATGTTATCCTTTTAAATGTTTTCTTCTTTACTTCTCAGTCTTTAACTTCTATTCTTAATACGTTGTGTGTTTAATTCATGTATACAAGGCCTAAGGTTTTCATGTTTTGTTAGAATATTTTTAGCGTTTTCTTTTTGGAAACAATTTTTCTTAAACGTTTTCTTTATTAAACTTTTGTAAACTTTCTCAAACTAAAACATGTCAAAATAAAACCTTATTTTTATTGTAGAACGAATTCCTTTCATTCTAAGACAGTTTTAATTAATGAATATTAATATATTGAGCCCATTTCTATGTTAATGTATTTACTTGTGCAGTGTTTGAGCGAAAGTGTGTGTGTGTGTGTGTGTGTGTGTGTGTGTGTGTGTGTGTGTGTGTGTGTGTGTGTGTGTGTGTGTATGTGTGGATGTTTATACGTTTTTCTCTCCTAGGGAGCGGTGATAGGTGCCTTTGTAGGCGAGGCAATAGCCATGTGGCTGGCTATCGGCTCCTACGCTTACGGAATTCCAGTGAAACCCATGCCTTTCCCCAACGGGACGTGTTCGGCGGACCTACTCAACGTCAACGGATCCATGACAACGGTTGCTATGACAACGGTTGCTATGACAACGGTCCTAACAACATCCGCAACGACAATTACAACTGGAATGACACCTGGGGATAATGAGCTCAAGTAAGATAAGGAATTTTTTGATGTAATTGGTGGTTTTTCGGTGATTAAAAAAAAAAACAACAACAGAAAAACACTTTTTAAAGTGGGGGATTTTAACAACTTTTTTTTGAGGGGGGTTGGGGGATGGAGGGGCGCTAATAAGACTAGATAACGGGCCATGTCCTTCTTAGCTGTGTTGTGGTATGTCATTTTTCCACAAGTTTAAAATGGGGCAGTGATGAGGTGTGGAAGTTGATAATTATTGGTAATGTTTGGTTTTAGTAAAAATTGTATCGATCCACCTTTTGCGTGGCCTTCCTCTTCCTTTATAGCCTGAGTGCTAGGTGTTGTAGGCTCTCAACTTTTGTTTTGTTTTGTTCCAGCCCTACCCTCCAATGGCTGTACTCTATCTCCTACATGTGGTACACCGGCATAGGGATGACCCTGGTGGTGTTGGTGGGTCTCCCAGTCAGCTTTCTCACAGGTACGTCCTAAACCTATGAAATGAAAATAAGGTAAAATAAGGTACATCTTTAGTATCCGGATCCTGGGAGATTGGTTTTGTGTTTCACCACTTGCACACACACACACACACACACACACACACACACACACACACACACACACACACACACACACACATGCACTCAACATGCTTACAGTCACGTCCCGTGCATATTATAAATGAACAGTAATATAATGATGTTAAGCTAGATACGTACTCAGTATTCTGACTGTAACTCAATAGTATTTTGATGCTTGCTGTAAGGTCATATGAAATTATATAGGTTTAGCGCCCTTATTAACACTATTGGGTTATTTAAGAGGCGGGACAACCGAGTTTAACGTCCATCTCCTAATCTCAGAAAGGACTGAGCCAAGTGGGACATTAATTTGTGTTGTCTTTCCAAAGGACACAAAGACGGACTAAGCTGAAGCTTAAACATGATTACATGTCCGGTAGCCTGACTACTAGGCTGCCGATGCTCTCTGCATGTTCTCAGATAAATATAGTGATAATGACAAAGATAACGAAACAGTATTAAGGACAATCAAATCTTAATCACCCTACACCTCTACGTGTTATGAGATTTTTAAAAAGTAATAATGACAATGATAATGATAACAGTATTAATGGCAATCAAACCTTAATTCTAACCCTAATCCTAAACTTAACTCTAGCCCTAACCCTAACCCTAATTCTCTGCATGTTCTTTTATATATAATAGTAATGACGATAATGAGAATAATAACGGTATTAATGGCAATTTAACACTATCCCTAACCCTAACCCTAACACTGACTCTATAAAAAAAAGTCGATAAGACATGTCAAATGACTGAATGTACCACAAAGACCAACCACTATCACACTAGCAGTACCAACAAATGTGACAACAGCAACAAAAATGACAATGGCAACAGCCACACCACCACCATACAATCAAAGCTACCGACCCTATTAACTTTGAAAACTTTTGCGATAACATCAATAAAACATTACCACCACAACCAGCAACAACAACAACAACAACAGCAAAAACAAAAACCTCATCCGCAACAACAACAACAACAACAACAACAACAACAACTCATCTGAAATTCTCACATACCTCTCTTCCTACCACTCCTAAACTCCAACACTCTCTTCCCGAAAACCAAACAAAATCTCATTTTACCCGCCTCCCCTCCTCATCACCAACTTTTTCACATCACCACCCCTTCCTCACCACCACCCCCTCCTCCCACCCCCATCCCCCACCTCCTCTTCCTACCACATCTAAACCCCAACATTATTTTCCCCAAATTCAAACAAACAAAAAATCGCACCCTCCTCTCACCCCACCACCCCCTCCTTTCTATATACCACCCCTTCCTCAACACCACCCTCCCCCCCCCCCCTTTCGATATGCCAGGAGCCAACTCCATCCACGACGTACCGGCCAAGTACCAGATCCCTTTCTTCACCCGTATCTTCTGTTGTCTTCCAAACTCCTGGCTTAGACGACTGGCCTGTAACAGGGACTTTCCAAACCCTGAGGTGAGTTACGCTTGTTTGACGCTTCTTCTTCTTCTTCTTCTTCATACTCTTCTTCTTCTTTTTCTTCTCCTTAATGGGGAGGTCCATGATGAACATTTTTTGTTTTCTTAATGGGCCTGGTGGACTCCTCTAAGAAATCTTCGAGCGAGAGCGACTCTTTTTCGGCCTCATTCTCATGATACTCAGAGGTACCCCCGCTCGTCCAGATAACTCTATTCGAAATGTCATTGTTCTTGGACATTCAAACAACATATGTTTGACATCCTCCTGTTCATGGTTGCAATTTTGGTAACGGGGATTGAGCTCTTTATTCGCAAAGTTCTGATTCCATCTCATGCTCAAATGATGGCCCGACCGCAGCCTCGCTAGCTCAACCTGATCCCAGCGACATATGATAAATTGTTCCTGCTTTTTGGAGTACCCAAAATACACATCTTCCATGTGCTGGTACGCAGCTCTGCATGGTGGGTCTCTGATTTCCCTCTTGATCATTGGAAAGACTCCCTTGTATGTTATTGGTCGTCTATCTCCTTCAATCTCTCTGACTTCATTGACAGCTTGGTCTGCTGCCTCATTTCCTTCGATTCCAGCATGGCTTGGAGTCCACTTGGTCTTTATTGTAGCTGCGGTTTCGCTGAACTTGGGGCGCAAGTAATTTATATCTGAGCTGTTGCCTTGTAGTCCCTTACAGACGGACTGACTGTCAGTCAAGATCAGCACATAGGTTCTAGCGTGGCAAGTGTCAACACTCCATAGTGCAGCAGACACCATTGCCTGGCATTCCTCGTCCTGGTTTTAATGATTTCTGTTCGTAGTGGTTCATCATTCATTATCACACCTGCTGCTGCTCCACCTTCGCGACAGCCGATCTATCAGTGAAAATTGTCACATCGGCACCAACTTCCTTGATTAAATCCTCTGCAGCTTCATGTGATTTTCAGAATCATCACCTTTATTCTTCACTCCTCTCATTTCTGTCCCGATTTCGATTTCGTCATGGGTCTCCCATGGAAAAACTCTCACCAGATTGATTTGCCATCAATTCTCTGCTTCAAGGGGAAGTGGTCTGCTAGGTTGGTGTCCATCTGAAACCAACTTTTCCTGCTGTTTTTAGACTTGATTGCTTGACCAAGGGTTTTCTTTTTAGGATGGTTGTCTAGCAATTGCTTAGCCATCTCTACTGACTTGAGGCATGTTCTTTTTGTATAGGTGGTGTAGTGCCCAGTTCTGGTCTCATAACGCAGTGCTTCTGTTGGTGTGTGTGTGTGTGTGTGTGTGTGTGTGTGTGTATGTGTGTGTGTGTGTATGTGTGTGTGTGTGTGTGCATGTGTGTGTGTGTGTGTGTGTGTGTGTGTCGTAGCCTGTGCGTTCGAAATGTTTGGACCCGAAGAGCCTTCTGGTAGTGTTGTTTTCAGCTGACCTGATACAAGTGGGAGGGCTTTGTTTTGTATACTGTTCAGGGCCTTTGCACTGGTCTCACTCAGCCAGGGCTGCCACGTTTTGGCTGCATAATCCATCTTGTTTTTCACAAACATCTGATACATTTGATATACATTCTTGAGAGACTTCTTACCTCAGCCCCATTTGGAGTTGCTGACAGCATCGATCATCTTCATTTTTGAGGTTGCACTTTTGGACACTTCCTCACTAAACTTGTTTAAGGTTAGCTGCCTTTCCAGACAGACGCCCAGGAGGCGTCGAGCGGGATTGCTATGTTGCCTCCTTCACCCATGTTGAGAAGAAGCACACCTCACTCTTGGTTGCATTCAAGGTAAGCTTCCATTCATTGCTCCATTTAACAACCATGTCCACAATCAACTGTGTCGCTTCGTTTCCCTTTTCTCTCTTTGCGCGACTGGCCAATAGTGTGCAGTCATCGACAAACATGGAGTAGATAAGCTTGGCTGAGGCTAGTTGTTGTGAGTCACGGTTTGGGAGGGTTTCTACAAAGTTGTTTAAGAAGAATCTAAACAGCAACGGTGATGGTACAGCTCCTTGGGGAATCCCTTGCTTGAAATTTTGGCTCTTGCTTGTTTCTCCATTCTGGCGAACAGGGGCCTGTCTATTTCTCAAGAAACCATGAATCCATCTGATTGCACGCAAAGGAACTTTGTCAGCCATTGACAATAATAGTCTGTCACGCCAAACCGTATCATATGCCTTGGAGTAGTCCAGTACGACTAGGACTGATCGATGGGATGTTGGCTTTTGTTGAAAACCATTCTCAATTCTTGGACAGTTTCTGATAATCAGGTCGGTGCAATTATGACTTTGGCGAAAGCCTGCCTGAATATCTGCAATCCGCTTATTGTTCTCTGACAGGCAGTAAATTCTTTCAGCATGCATCCTTTCTAAAACTTTCACCACTCAGGATATTAAACTAATGTGTCCAAAGGATGTCATATTACTTGGTGACTTGCCAGTTTTCAAGAGAGGAATGATAAGTGCCATACACCAGCCTTTTGGGCTCACTGCTCGGTTAAGCGGCAGATTACATATGCTGAGCAGTTCTTTCAATGCGAGTGGATGGTGGTATATCATCATGTCCTGGAGCACTTCTTCTCTTCATTTGTGTTATGGCACGCTCCAGCTCTTTCACGATGAAGTCTGGGTATGATTGTTGTTCATCTTCGTAGTTCACATCGTCATACAGTAGGCATTTCAATCGGAGTTTGTTTCTTCTGCGCTCCTCTTGGGTAAATTGGATCTTACTGATTTTTGCTTAATGCTGGGCAAAAAGCTCAGCTTTCTTCTTTGTTGATGTTATCCTTTTTCCGTTGTGTTTCAGTACTTCGTTGGAAGAGTTGGTTTGTAGTGATCCATTTAGAGACTTGATGACACTCCAAGTTTTCCTTTCGTCCAGATCATTTATCACGCCTTTAACTACCCATTTCAACTGGTTAC